ATCAATCGCCGTTTGATCCCAGACGCTCGTAGTCTCGTCCTCTTTCGTTTCATAACAAGCTTGCATGATTCTTTGTCCATAAAGTGAGGTAGAAATCCATTCTTCTTCAGGTCATGCCCGAGTTTCTTCTCTCGAATCGTCAATTGATCTCTGATTGACTTGAAACTTGCGCCTATGCTTCACTTTATGTGCTAGGACCTGAAATGGGACAAAGGAACACAACCTAGCATAAAATAGGCCAAAGACGCAATAATTCAAGCTCAAACAATCAAGAAACAAAGGGGAAAACATGTGCAAATACCGAGTCATCAAATCCCCCCACACTTAACTGTTTGCTTGTCCCCAAGCAAACCTAACTCAAACCAATGCAACTCTCCAGACCTCTATAGCAACAAACAACCCAGATCGTAGGTAGAGGACTTCCTAGATCATTTAGCAGCTTACGAGGTCAACCGACGCACAAGTCATCTCATAACTTCTTCGGCGAGTCGGCATCATGGCAAATAGTGAACAGAGGACAAATGAATTGTGGATGAGGAGATTCTCAAAAACAACAGATCATGGACTCACATTTTTCAAGGTGCTCTATTTTCTGCTTCTTGAAGATGGTTGAGACCCCTTTTTTTTTGTTTTGCTTGTTTTCTGATATTTTTCTTTTCTTTTCTTTTTCAAGGGTCCCAACCTGCTCTTACCGGCCATGCCAGGAGCGGATGTCTCGAGCCTCGTGCGGGGGAAAGACATGTAAGGGGGCTGGAGGTAGTAGGTGGAAATTGGGAACGAATTCCCGTCTCCCCTTACACACTTTCGCCCTATTCGCACGGGAGACGTTTATTTTGAAGCACATTTTCGAGCACCTGTTACTTTCAAAACATGATACAAGAGTCCATGACAGGTAGAGAATCCACAACACCACACAATTCAAGGGTCCTAAGATCACTAATTCACTCAATCAACCAACTTTATATGAAGAAGAAATGAGACTTCTTAAATGCATCAACATCCTCCATAGTGCTACACTACCTCCCTAGGTTGCATATTACTGTAAAGACTGTCAATTCAAAGCATACTGAGCAGGCAATTGCATGGAACACGTACTTGGAGCCCTCAAATTTAAAAATTTGGGCAGTGAACTAGGCTCCAAGCACACAAACAGCCCAACATTCACCCGCATACATAATCGAACACCCCCCCACACTTAAGCACGACATTGTCCTCAATGGAGGAAAGATAAGGAGGGTAGAACGAAGTTACCAGATCAAGGGTGAATGATGATGAATGGGTCAGGCGGTGCATTCCAGGAAGAGAGAGTAATCAGAACACAAACACCACGCAAAATCTCACAAAGGTTGAGTTATTGACTCTAAAATCAAATAACAAAACTGACTCAACCGAGGAGAAATAGAGAAAGAAATGCAAACCGACTGGTTGGGTTGCCTCCCAACAAGCGCTTCTTTCACGTCGTGAGCCGGACGATGGCTCCTAAGTTTCAGTCCATGCTAGAACCTCCTTGAAGTTGAGGTTCTCGTCGATGAGGTGGAGTCTCAAGTCACGAGCATGTGGTGTGGCAGATGATGAAGGCTCATGTACTTGATGCAGATGAAGTCTCCACCCTCGAGACCTCTTCTTCTCTTCTCTCGTCTCATTGCCCCAAATCAGATATGACAGCATCGATTGGCCGCCATCGCGTCCACCAAGAGGGACCGATGTCGATGTGGCCTTGGTCTGGCAAAGAGACACTGCAAATGGGTCCTTGCCAAGCAGTTCCTCAAAGTTTGGTGGGGATATTACTTGCAACTCATGGCCGGTGCATGCCTCTTCCACCTCAACTTCATCCTCAGCCTGGACGCCAATTGCTTTTTCAACCCCCCTTTCTTCTTCATGTGGTATCACCCCTGAGAAAAGATCAAGAACTCCTTCTGCTTCACTTTTGTCATCCTCCACAACTTCTTTCTGCACCCTTTCTTGCTCTTCTTCTTCCAGCACGAATTGGAGAGCAAGTCTCCATGCAAGGTTCTCGATAAGTTCAGCTTGCATCTCCTCACTCGAGCCCAGCATGTCAGAGCGGAAATGGTGAAAGTTATGATCTACCACCAAAGGATACACTTGATCATGATTATCATGGGAGCTTTCTGTGACAACTTCTGTATGCTCCTCAACATCCTCATGATTGCCTTTTTCTTCCTCCTCCTCTACTTGTATGGCAGCATAAAGGTTGTCTTGAGAAAACTGTGAACAAGCTTTCTCAATGACCTCTAGGTGCTTCTTTATGCTCCGGATGGTATCCTCTGTTTCACGGGGGAAGGAAAAGTCAGTTTGGGCAATGGCCTGGATATGAGGATCCATCTCGGGAAAAGATCTCTCAGGTACTCGAGCAATCTGCTCCACGAGAAGCCTCAATTCATAGTTTGGATCTGGCTGTGGAGTGTAGCATGGCTCTGCAGAATGGCCCGTGAAGGCCGCCATGGGTAACTCCAGATCCGATGGCCCTTTTTGTTGTGGGAGGAGTTCTTCTTGATAAGGAGATTGTTCTTGATATGCCCAGGGGTCTGGTTGTTCTCCGTAGAAAGGGGGTTGGTACTGGAACCCGAATCCATAGTCTTCTCCTCCTTCATTGCTCCAGGGAGTCTCAGGGTAATACCACTCGGATGGTGGTGGATACCCCCACTGGTTGGAGAAGCCATTAGGATCCATGATTCAGATCTGCACCAATAAAAACAAAAACACCCAAGTGAAAAGCAAGGGTGGAAAAGAAAAGAAAAGAAAAACGCTAAAGTAACAAACTTCTGCCTTTCCTAATACTCTAGAAAGTCCCCGGCAACGGCGCCAAAAACTTGATGCTCCAAAACACAACACCTAACAATGGCCAAGTGTAACCAATGAAAGGGACTGCAGTATAGTGGCACAAGTAATAAATATCGAATCCACGGGTCTCTAGAGTTACTATTACTCAGCTTCAGTTCATTATCTAGCAAACTAGATTAAGGATTGATTAACTAAACTACTCTACTAACTAAACTAAGTAAAACTACTAATTACAGTTTGGGAACTCACTTAGGTATGATTCCCCCTAGCTCCTCAATTAGGTCCAAGTTGTAATTCATTTTGGTTGATTTACTGTTGATTAAACTGCGGAAGATCCGACAGTAGCTTGGAATCTCTTAAGCTGACCAAGCCCTCTCAGTCTAACTATCCGGCAGACGACTAGTCTTCACCGGGATAGAAAGCTGAAGCAATAAGCACAGAACTCCACTACTGGAATTGGATTCCAGTACAAAGCAGTAAACTGGCTAACTCTCGTATAGCCAATCTCCTACTACCGAATGATGAGACTCTAGCAACCTAATCAGATTCTATCTATCTCAGATTGCAGCAGAAATCAGGAAAAGTTGATCAGACTTCAATTGACTCAATAAACATGCATCATTCGATTATAATCAAACAATATAGCATCCAAAACTTCATACAAGAAAGATCCTAACTCATGGAACTAGGGTTCCTCAAAACCTAAGTGAAGAGAAGTTACTCCATAGAGAAGAGAGAGACTGCAGAAATCTGATCTAGATCTTCAATCTCCATCTCCAAGCTTGATTCCCGAGCTTTAATGGCGAAGAAATCCTCCAAAATAGCTCCAAGAATGTTCCCAAGTCGCTCTCTCTCTCTAGGGTTCGTCCCTTGGGTGTTTGGGATCCAAAACCCAGCTCTCTCCCTCCTTTGGCTCGAATTTGGGTTAAAAACAGCCATTCCCGACTCGCACGGCCAGGGTGCACGGCCGTGCACATCACCATTCTGGCCGTGCACCTCAAAACGCGGCGTATCAATTAGTTGAACCTCAGCCAACTCGCACGGCCAGAATTGTATGTTGCACGGCCGTGCGTGGCCACGCACAATCCCGTGCGTGCCCACGCACAATCTCGCACGGCCAAACTGGTCACTTGCACGGCCGTGCGTGGCCACGCACAATCCCGTGCAGCCTGCTCAGCCTCTGTTTAATGCTTCGTTTCTCCCTCGTCCGGACTCCGAATCAATCGCCGTTTGATCCCAGACGCTCGTAGTCTCGTCCTCTTTCGTTTCATAACAAGCTTGCATGATTCTTTGTCCATAAAGTGAGGTAGAAATCCATTCTTCTTCAGGTCATGCCCGAGTTTCTTCTCTCGAATCGTCAATTGATCTCTGATTGACTTGAAACTTGCGCCTATGCTTCACTTTATGTGCTAGGACCTGAAATGGGACAAAGGAACACAACCTAGCATAAAATAGGCCAAAGACGCAATAATTCAAGCTCAAACAATCAAGAAACAAAGGGGAAAACATGTGCAAATACCGAGTCATCACAAGCTCAGGTAGTTGGCACTCTTGGTCATTTTGAAAAAATTCTTTAAAATTTTAAAGGTTGGGGGAACATGGTGTCATTGACACTTATAACGAAAAATAATTGTATATAAAACAACTGCGGGAGAATGGCGCCCAAGGGGGCAGTGGCAGGCATTCATGACCCTTTCAAGGACAGGGTCGATAGGGAAGCGCAAGCCGAACCAGATGAACTCTTGGCATAGGCCCACCCACCCATCGCCACACAAGCCAATCCGGGCCTCCGGAGGCGCATGGATATACCGCCAACGCGCGGGTAGTTGCGTGGCCACAACAAGCTTTTCCAACCTCACCCCCAACTGTTTGGAGGCGTGGTGGGGGCCGTCGTCTTCCACGGGCATTCTCGAGGTGTCCTGGGGCGCATAGCCGGGAGGCCACATCAAGTCCCACGGCCGGAACATGTAGTCTCGAGGCGCAGGTGGGCCTGAGTAAAAGGAAGGGGCAAGGGTAAGGCAAAGAGTGGAAGGGAGGCGCGGCATTTGCCAAAAATAAAGGGCGCACGTGCATTAAAAAAATGGTGGTGGGCGAGAAAGTGCACAGGCTAGAAAGGTATTGAGGCGCATAAGCATCCATTATCGCAGAAAAAATTGATCTCGAATCAAACAGGGGAGAGAGGCATACAGTATCCAAAACTAAGGCGCACAGTAGTTGAGGGACTTATCGAGAGCGTTGGGGGCAGCTGCGGCCGGGCCTTCGGCAGGCGCATTAGATCTGGAAGGCGCATTGGAGGCGGGAGGCGCATCTGCAACAACAGGAGATTGGCGAGTGGCTGCGACTTGCTCCTCATAATGCGCATGCGAGTTGGTAGGAAGAGAGATTTGTTGAGAAGACGCCATGACGAGTGTAGAGGCGCACGGTAGGGCAGGCAGAGCAGAGCAAGCAGCCATGAGGAGGGAGGATTAGAGAGAGGAAGTAGAGAAAGGGTGGAAAGGGAGTTGTGAGAACTGTGGAAGTGGATGGGAGATTTATAAGGAGGGCAGGCGAGAGAGAGAAAGAAGAGGGGGGAAGGCGAAGAGACCACACCAATCCGCTCTTGATTTCAAAATTTGAATTTCGAATCCCTAGCGGATTTGGGGGAGAGAGAAGGTTGGAATCGTAGGAGGCATAATGGCATAGAAAGAGAGGAAGGGAAACAGTTGCGAGAGAAAGAAAAATAAAAAAAATAGTAATAAAAAAGGTAATCCGGGTGAAATCAAGGGTACCGCATACCTTGAGTATGAAAACGCTATCTAGACCTCGAATTAGTAGGATTTTTGGGCATGATACTATACCCTAACCCTTAATGAGTGAACCGTAGGTCCTAATTATCAAAATCATAAACTATAAACCCTAAGATAGTGCATTGAATTTTTTGTCGGTTGATTCGCACTGGGTGGGGGCAAGCGGGTGCAGATGAAGCACCAAAGAATGCGGAAGGCGCATGCTTAGCGAAAGTAGGAAGGACGCCCAAAGCCCAATTGGGGAGGCGCATGGTGGTCCGAATGGGGAGGTAGGCAGAGACACGGGGGAGAAGATGGATGCAGTTAGGCCCCCAACCGGGGACGTTAGGCGCCTAACTGGGGGGCAATTGTTGGGGGAACAAGTATGGGCCAAGGGGCAACCCGATTGGGAAGGCCCAAGGAAGACTAGTGGGAAGGCACAGGCGTGGGCCGTCCAGGGCCCAATCAGAGAAACCCAAAGAAGCCCATGGGGGCAAGGGCCTTGGGCCTAAAGGCGCGCGGCGAGGGGCCCAAACAGCCAAGGTAGTGTATGGGGCAGGTGGGACCGGACACCTGGCAAGAGGCGCATAGGACAAAAGACACCCAACGGTCGGAAGTGTACGAAAAGCTGGCCACATGATGTCATGCGCCTCGAACTCCTGACGAGGGTGTCAGGTGGTCGAGGCGCATACGCAAGGATGGTACGGCGCATTTATGGCAGAACTGACACAAGGCGAGAGCGACGGATACCGGTCGACCTCGCTCTGAGTATAAATAGTGAAGTAGGTAAACCTCATTTACTTAGTTTTGCTTCTCTTACTGTTCTTCACTTCTCTCTCTAGAGTAAGGATTCTCACTTGGGCGTCGGAGTGCTAACAGACCTATCTGGTCCGCTAGGCGCTTGTGTGTGCAGGCGGAAGTGCGCGTGTGGGAAGTGTAGTAGGAAGCGAGGCGCATGACGTGAAGAGGAGGGTTGTGGGGAATAAACAGAACACATTTCACCTTAATAGAAAAATTCATTATATTTAAATTTCATATATTATTCATAAAGAAAACATGTAAAAGTAACTTTCTCTCCGTGTTTATAGCGTGTAAAAATTATCGATTTTTTTTAAGTTACTTACAATATTGTGTAAATATTGAGTTGAAGAAACCATTAATATATATTAATTATTAATTAATATATAAAGGCCAAGGTTGTGGGTTACTATTCATTAGTGGCTCACAAATTCTTTCAAGTACAAGTAGGGAAGTTCCAATTCCTTCTTTTACCACACTCTCATCTTATAACCTATGTGTTCATTTATTGTCTGTTGGGTCTATATCTATTGCCCATTAGGTTTCATCTATTATTCATTACTTTCTCTATTGCAGCTATTATTCATTAGGTTTTCGTCTATGAACTATCGCCCAAATCATCACCTTGGCCCACCACAAGCAACTCATCTCGAAAAAATATCGACGAAATAATAATTAATTAATATATAAAAGCCAAGGTTGTGGGTTACTATTCATTAGTGGTTCACAAACTCTTTTAAGTACAAGTGAGGAAGTTTCAATTCCTTCTTTTACCCCACTCTCTCATCTTATAATCTATGTGTTTAGTTATTGTCCGTTGGATCTACATCTAATATATAAAAGCCAAGGTTGTGGGTTACTATTCATTAGTGGCTCACAAACTCTTTCAAGTACAAGTGGGGAAGTTTCAATTCCTTCTTTACCCCACCCTCTCATCGTTTAACCTATGTGTTCATTTATTGTCCGTTGGGTCTACATCTATTGCCCATTAGGTTTCATCTATTGTTCATTACCTTCTTTATTGCAGCAATTATCCATTAGGTTTTCGTCTATGATCTTTCGCCCAAATCATCACCTTGGACCACCACAAGCAACTCATCTCGAAACACTATCGACGAAATAATAATCTAATATATAAAGCCAAGGTTGTGGGTTACTTTTCATTAGTGACTCACAAACTCTTTCAAGTACAACCAGGGAAGTTTCAATTCCTTCTTTTACCCCACTCTCTCATCTTATAACCTATGTGTTCATTTATTGTCCGTTGGATCTACATCTATTGCCCATTAAGTTTCATCTATTGTTCATTATTTTCTCTATCGCAGCAATTATCCATTAGGTGTTCATTTATTGTCTGTTGGGTCTACATCTAATATATAAAAGCCAAGGTTGTGGGTTACTATTCATTAGTGGCTCACAAACTCTTTCAAGTGCAAGTGGGGAAGTTTCAATTCTTTCTTTTACCCCACTCTCTCATCTTATAACCTATGTGTTCATTTATTGTCCGTTGGGTCTACATCTATTGCCCATTAGGTTTCATCTATTGTTCATTACTTTCTCTATTGCAGCAATTATCCATTAGGTTTTCGTCTATGATCTTTCACCCAAATCATCACCTTGGCCACCACAAGCAACTAATCTCGAAACACTATCGACGGAATAATAAGTTGTTCTCTTTCACCGTTTTCCACGACCGCTATCGAAGATCTGTACCATATCTCGAAATACTATCGGTGGAATCCTCGGTTGTACCCATTCACCGTGTACCAAGACCGCTACCGAAAATCCTTACCAATATGCTATGCGTTCCGAGTTTTGTATCGGGACCGAGTTTTATATTCTTTAGTATTTTCATATTTCTCCTTTTCTTTTGGTTAAGCAAGAGAATTGAACTCAAACTCATGGGTATCCAACCTAATTCGACCAGGTCAAAGCGACTTGAACTCGACTTTAGTAACTTTAAATTTCTATTCTTTCTTTTCGTTGAGAATGACAATTGAATCCAAGCGCATGGTATTAGCGAGTTTTGTATCATAAGTTGTTATATTCCACTATTTTTCATGGCCGCTACCGAAGATCCATACCATATCATGAAGTATTGTCAGTGGAATCCTAGATTTTACACACCCACCGTGTCTCAATACCGCTACGGGACCGAGTTTTGTATTCTTTAATGTTTTCTTATTTCTTCTTTTCTTTTGGTTAAGCATGAGAGTTGAACTCAAACTCATGGGTTTCCATCCTAATTTGACCAGGTCAAAGCGACTTGAACCCGACTTTAGTAATTTAAATTTTTTATTTTGTTGAGAATGACAATTGAACCAAAACATGTGGTATTGACGAGTTTTGTTTAGAGAGCGAGTTTTATCCACTTTTGTAGTTGGCATGTTAGGTCGAGTGTGAATTTGTTAAAAACTCGATTTGACCTGGTTAAAGCGAGCTGAACAAGGTATTGACGAGTTTTGAATCGAGAGCAAGATTTGCCCGCTTTAATGTTATTTTATTTTTCTGTTTCTATTTCGTTGAGAATGACAATTGAAGCAAGACTCTGTAGTGATGAGTTTTGTATCGAGAGCAAATTTTATCTCCTTTTAGAATTGACATGTTGAGCCGGCCATGAATTGTTAACAACTCGGTTCCAACGAGGGAGGGCGAGTTGAACTCGGTGTGCAGTGTTTTTTGTGGGGAACAAGTTTTATCTGTTTTTGTGATTTTTATTTATCCTTTTCCTTTTGGTTGAGAACCCAACCTATGGGTATCCAACTGAATTTAAATTGATAAAAATGACTTGAACCCGATGTTTACAAGCGTTCGGGAAGGACTGAGTTTTATTCACTTTTGTAATTGACGGGATGTCGGTTGTGAATTTATTACTACTCAGTTCAACCTGATCAAAGAGAGTTGAACATGATGTCAAGTTTTAGGTCGTGAGCGATTTTTAGCAGCTTTAGTTTTTGTTAATTTCTCGGGCGGGAGTGAGTTTTATTCGCTTTTGTAATTGCCTGGTCGGGTCGGTTGTGAATTTGTTACAAACTCGGTTTAACCCGATCAAATAGAGTTGAACATGATGTTGTCGAGTTTTGGGTGATGAGAGAGTTTTATCCGCTTTAGTGTTTGTTAATTTCTCTTTTTCTTTTTGGATGAGAATGAACTTGAAGAAAAAAAAGAATATAAACTAATCAATAGTGTTATAGGAGAAGATTTAACATAAAAATTATTTGCTCGACGACCCTTCTCGTTTATCGAAGTTTATCGATGCGTCAACTACATGAAGTTGTAGATGACAAGCCATTTATTTTTGGGTCAAAATTCAAACTATCAATCTCTAAAATATCATGTTCTCGCTCACACGCGAAGCGAGCTTATAGTAGTATTTTTAACAGGTAGGTTGTGTGTTGCTTGACATTGAAGTAAATTTTAGGCATAGCTATAGCTATAGTTTTGGACTTTTGGCGCTAATTAGGCAAGAGATCGCTTGAAGCCAAGATTTGGTAGCTCAGCTTGACATAATTAACCAACAAATTTTCTTCACACGGTCCAATTACTTGACCCTTAATAATTCCCTTCTGTTTGTTCCTGAAACCGTGGATTAGAATTCCCGCTAGCAGGCAGCCTTATTAGAAAATTAACCATAGATAATACTCCAGAATACAAATCGGTCAAAATTCCTCACCATACTCGGACCAAAAAAAAAAAAAAATAAATAAAATAAAATTACACATTAATTAATAGTATTAGTTAATATATTTTCATTTGTTTCTGGAGGGATGGACGAACGGGTCAATCAAGACCTTAGAATTGTCAATTTGTCAGAATTCATTTGGTATTATCTCCCGAGCACGAATTTTCATCGCCTCCTCATTCTTCTCCTCCATTCCTCCAAAAATGCTCCAAGATTGACCTCTCGATTCTCCCCTGGAGTCCCGATCAGCTTGGCATAAAGCAGATCGGCGGTATGAATTCCAGGAATCATCATGCAGATCATCATCAGCTGAATGGATCAGGCGAGGATAGCAACTTTACGACGCCGGAGAGGGAGGGGGAGCGGGGGTTTTCGTGCGCCTCCGAGCCAGCTGGCGGGGAGCGGTGTTCGTCGTGGTCGCCGTGCTCTCCGGCCTACTTCATCCGGAGTCGGAACAGAGGGAGGTCAACGACTGGCACGGCCGCAGATGGCGACTTCGGGGAAGAGGAGGACTCCGCCCATCGCAGCACCGGCGACGATGCTCCGGCGGGCGGGCGTAGGAGTGGGAGGACGTCTACAACTACTTTTGCCTTGAGATTTCGTGACCACGGTCAGTATTTTTATTTTGGATTGCGCTTTCAAAGTCGTGAACAACTGAAATTCTAATGATCTTCTCCCCCATATATGCCTGGAACTGGAATTATCTTAAAATAACGAGACCCGATACTAAGCTAACTCCCCCCATATAATTAGTAAGCTAATCAATTTTTATAAGAACTCCACTTTTGAATTATTATGATGAATTGTTTCTGAAAAGTCTTGTGGTCATAATCTTTCTTTACTTTATTGAGCTTATCATTCATAAATTTTTTAGAGATCACAAGTTGTTCCTACCCCAAACAACTTGAATATAATTGTTTAATGAGAAGTTATTATTGAATTTTAAGTTTTCATTTGAGTAACTCATCTCAATAACTCGAAAATGATGGATGTGAATCTAGTGAAGATGGGGCCAAAGTTAACTGAAACAGTGAAAGGCAAGTTGAAGCTCGGCACTAAAATACTCAAAGAAGGCGGGTGGGAGAATGTTTTCAAGCAAATTTTCGGACAAAATGAAGGAGAAGAACAACTCCTCAAGGCATCCCAATGTTATTTGTCCACCACCACTGGTCCCATTGCCGGAATCCTTTTCATATCCACGTTAAAAGTCGCCTTTTGCAGTGATATGCCCATCGCAGTTCGTGCACCTTGTGGAAAATTGCTTATTCGATGGCCTTACAAGGTACATATATTCATTATGATCGAATCAAAATTGTTGAGGTAAACGGGCTAGCTCTTTACAATGAATATATATGTTTCAGAATTCGCTAAAATAGTTTGTATTTGTGTGTGTTGAGAAGGTGGTGATTCCAGTTAAGGTGATCAAATTGGTCAAACAGAGCGAGAATGTGGAGAAGCCATCACAGAAGTACATAGAGATTGTAACCGAAGATGACCACGAGTTTTGGTTCATGGGCTTCTTACGCTTTGAGAAAGCTTTCACGAATCTACAAAAGGTGGTTTCTAAAGTATGCAACGAGGGACATTAGTTAGTGTTATTGGTAGTTGATTCATTAAGGCAGGCGAAAATGATTACATACCAGCTAACTAGTTAGCTTTATACGTATAAATTGTGAGAAAACTATGTAGTTACCCAAGTAAAAGAACAACGCATGTGCATTGTTAGGCAATTGTTCTAGCCCTATATATCCTTTTTCATGTATAAAATGCTTACATGGTATTCTTTCTGATCTTCATAGTAACTTGCATTGAGAAAAGTAACAAGTTCTTTTTCACTTCTCCATCTTCATAAGCTGACAAATACTTCGATGAGTTTTCTTGTCAAATGCTCATTCGAATTCTACTAACCCAAGATTGATGAGATAATTTTCCTTCTTTTAAAATTTATAATAGATCGATCAATAATAGATTCTAAAAGTTAACATTATCATATCCATTATCCGTTTAAGGGAATTCTTATTTGCAATTTGTGCCTTATAGATCTCATATTGTTTTTACAACTTAGATGCTCAATTCAAAAGAATTTAACTCGTTCATTAATTCGACGAACTATTATGCGAGTTTAGACAATTGAGCTCTTAAACATTCTCATACGTTTGTTTAGATTATATTGTATAGAATTCTCAATGGTAGAAATAGTAGAAAGTAAGTACTATCGTATAACATGTTGCATGGCTTGACATATGTTACATACAACAATGCTTTTGTTACACCACCCGCCCAAAAGCAAACACCATACGAAAAACACAACCAGTGCCAGGGTTAGACGCCTCCAATGCCAAAATCAACCTGGGAAGGAATTCATATGATTCTTCCCAATCACCAAAAAGGGCGTCCATAGGTTTCTGCTTTCCATGCCACGCCTTCTTATAGTTGATAATATGACCATAACGACTTGTAATGTCAGTGATTATGACTTTCACCTCCAGGTCAGGATCTTGCACAGTGAATCATTATTGGGCTTACAGCCCATCTAGTCATAGTTAGTAAATACTCCGTTCAATACACGTATATGTATCCGTATGTATTTTATCCGTTGAAACCTTCCATATCCGTATTATTGTCAAGCCGTTTCATTTGATGGCTCATGTACTAAACAAGTATAAAACCCGTATAACACGTTTATCATCCGTATTTTTTGAAATAAATGGTTAACTTTACCATTATTTATATATTTATTTATTTTTAAAATAGTTAATTTTATATTTTTATGACTAACTAAACGTAATTTTAGCTTGTAAACGAAGTATAATACTCGTACGTATTTTATACATAACTTTCCCGTACCATCGACTACAACAGATCGAACTGCTGCATCTCAGACCTTCTTGAACTAGTCCAGAAGAGGCTCATTTATTTTTACAAAATACATAATGGCAAAACATGGGTTTGATTTTCAGGGATTTGAAAATGGAGCTCTCTAAGTGAATCCCGGATGTCCATTCTGGTAATTTCGCATCCAATGAAACGTTACGTTTACTGCTCTCGCCACGCTTAATTGGCCCTGCCATATATTCTACAATGGGCCCGATACTTAAGCCCACTAAAATTAAATGAAATTAAATGTTAGCTTGCAGTTGTACCATCCTTTTTCAATTTCATTTTTTTTGTTGTAAATATAGTCCATTTTCTATCATTACTATTAGAGTACAATATTTTCTTTTGTCTTTTATGATCAGAGTAATGTGGTTTTCGATGTCTTGCTATTGAGGTTGTCATCATGCCGTTGACTCTCGCATTGGCTTGGAGTGACTTTGACTCGATGCGAAAAATGGACGACATATTCACGGGTGGATTTGCAACAAGGTTTTCAGAGTGAAGGTCATATGATGTCTTTTTTTCTTTGGTTACCGAATGCCACCTCTTTACGGTATTTTCCTTCGTATAACTATAAATTTGAATTTCTAAATTGAATATCTGAATATTGATGTTATACGTGTATGTGTGAATTTTTAGTATATGTTGGATCCAAGTACAAAATGTTATCTTGGTGCAATGTTATATGTTATTACCCATATTTTAGATGAGATTTGACATATTTTATAAATGCATGAATAATATAATGATTTTTCATATATTCAGGTTAAATTTTTCAGATCAGATCATTAACCCTCAATCCACTTTCTTGACCGCAACAACGGGCTAAAGCGTGTTGAAAACATTGCTTGATATGGTTGTAATCTAAAGTTGGGAAGCAAATTTTGTACATTACATTGAAAAAGAAATTCCAATTATACAATTACCTTAGCCAATTCGGATGTTGTACTCTAACCTTCCACTCACTCTTTTGTATCATTGATTTGGTTGGTGAAGTTCATCATACACAACCAACATTGCAATTGTGTGAACAAATTTTTCATAAAAAGTCAAACATGTTCTCTTACATTTATTAGAGTTAATTCTATCACCTTTCTTTGAATTTTATATTTTTAAGCATTTTACTGTGTTGTGTCCATCTCACTTTGATAACCTCATGAGTATTAGGAGACCTTTGATAAGAATGGTACTCAAAGATCCATTTATTTCTAACTTTGAAACTGGTAATACCCAATCAACCTCAATCCGTTGTTGTCTATGTACTTTAGTATATGTGGAAAAATCACTTGGTAAGCCGTACCTAATGCAGGGATTTTTTCAATAATAGCATCTTTTAAAAAAATTACAAAATAGCACCCAGCCCACACAAATTCCAAAAATAGCACCTTTCATCATAAACCGCACAACGGGGGAGCGGTCCACGCTAGGGCAGTCTGAAAACCGCACTCTCAGCTTGCGATCTGTGTTCCCGAGACGGCGGTCCCCAGCACCGTTGGATGAGGCGGAAATCCAACGGCTAACCGCACGCCAGCACAGCGATCCACATCAAGGATCGAAGACCGCGCGCCTGGTGAACGGTCAGCGCCTCGGACGCCGTGAACCGCGCCCTCGTGGTGCGGTTTTGGAATCGGCAAAATTACGAGACCGCCCCTAGAGGGTGCGGTCTGAAAAGTATAAATACCCCCTCCTCATTTTTTCACACCACAACCCATTCTCATATTTCTCTCTCTCTCTCTCTCTAAAATTATCTCTCTATCCATCCTCTCCCCTCCCAAAAGCCTAGGAAATAGTGGTATGTTGGTTGCGGCTAAGTCCGATCTGCCATCAGAAAACATTTCTTTGGCTTTTCCTTCAAAACCCGCCGAATCTCTGTGCGACTTTCATGAAAAAATGGACGAGTGGTTCCAAGAAGAGGGAATTCATTACGATGAATTTCAAGTGGTACGTACACATTTACCAATTGTTGTTGTTATAACTTTTTCAATTAATCTATGTACTACTGTTGTTGTTATTCTCTCGTAGGTCGGGGACGACGTGGATATATACAACCAACGGTATTATGTTGATCAAGGGCCTAGTGATCCAACCGTGTTGTACGACCAACCCGACCATCGTGCAAGGGATGTTTGGAACGATCACGAGGTACATACAATTCTTCATCATTTCTATTTCTTTTAATTTGTTAACGTAATTAGTGGAATATAAAATAAATTTGATCATTTTTAATCGTATTGGTTGTTTTCAATAATTTAATCGAATACATAGCGTCACTTACTTAGACTCTTTATAAAGAGATGCATGCTTAAGGAAATGGGGTTTTAAGCGATTATCATGATCCTCCCATTGCCTGGGAAAATCAGATTTTAAGCGATCATCGGAATTAGATATAAGCTATTGTTATTTGACAAAATTAAACAACCAGTGAAATAGAGACTTTACCAATCCACAATAAATTATCAGCAATCTTCTTCCGCTTGAAATGATGGTTCCAGTTGCTCTTGAAGTGTCATATGTGACCACTTCCAGGCTGGATCCAAACCTAAGATGGCAGCTCTGATGTCGGGATGTCGATCAGAGATGATTGTCAGGTTCGTTCTCCTGGTGATGTGGAGCTGAATTTGCCAGAAAAACCATCCATAGCTATCAGCATTCTCTCCCTCAACAATGCCGAAGGCTAAAGGAAAGACTTGTCTGTTTGCATCCGCACCACTGCAATCAGGAGTGTGCCCTTGTACTTGCCGGTAAGGAATGTACCATCCACTTGGATTACAGGGACACAAAATCCAAAACCATGAATAGATGGCTTGAATGCCCAAAAAAGACGTTTGAAATGGCGTTTGTCATCGGGCTTTGGCGGTTGTATCTCTTCATCTTGGTATCGAGGGGAGAAAACCGTGCCAGGGTTAGACGCCTCCAATGCCAAAATCAACCTGGGAAGGAATTCATATGATTCTTCCCAATCACCAAAGAGGGCGTCCATAGCTTTCTGCTTTCCATGCCACGCCTTCTTATAGTTGATAATATGACCATAACGACTTGTAATGTCAGTGATTATGACTTTCACCTCCAGGTCAGGATCTTGCTCAATTAGATGCTTGATGGCCGCGACCACCACCCTGGATTTCAACTGTCGATGGCCTTGGGATGTTATGGATGACACACATGTGTGTGTGTTCACCGCACGGGATATGACCCAATAGTCGTGTCTCTTGCTGTTGATGGCCCGAATCCTAGCATTGCGTCCCTCTTGTTGATTACGACATCTGACTATGAGCCTCTTCGTGTTGGAATGAGTTGTGTGCTATTCAAAATGTCGAGTCATTGCTTCAGTTTCAATGGCGTGCAGCACCTTCTTCTTCAAACCATATTTGTTGGCCCTTCATAAACCCAGTGAGTGGACCCCATACTGGGACCTCTGGAGGCCCTATGTCGCCGTCGGGCGTAGACGCACCAATTGTCGTCTGGAATGTGAGTGTAGTACGGAATAGATACACGGTCACGAGAAACCTCATCATCATCTGAGTCTGAATCTGGGCCTCCTGAATCATCAGCGCCTTCAAGAGGGCCGGAGCTGTCTGCACTAACGTTGCTCCCTTCTTCTTCATCGGAGGGGTCACTAACTGGTGCTGGCAGGGCATCTTCCATCTAATCCAGATCATGAAAGACACCTTCATCAGCTCCGTAATGGTAGTTGTGAAAATTGCCGCTGCCTGAATGGAAGTTGTACTCGGGTTGGTTGGCATGGACCCGTTGGACTTCTTTTTCATATGATGGGAAAGATTGATGATGACCTTCACCTTGCTCTTGGTACTAAAAGTAGGAATGAGGATCATGGTAACTTTGGTAGGGATGATCTCCATATAATTCACCTCCACCATGGATACCAAATGTTTGCCTGTCTCCAGAATGACCTCCAACACCTTCGACCGCCTCGGTGTAAACGAACATCTCGGCTTTGGAAAGATTATTGGACCTCAAGAATTTGAGCATGGCATCTACTTCATCCTGAGTGGTTATGAGATATTCCTCATGCCACAACGACCCACCTTCTCTGTTTGGATATCGGTATACCATACGATAAACTCTTCTCGTGCCATCTATGCAAGTAACGTTAGTACAAATTTGATGGAGGTCTTCAAGCATCGGTCTGGTAGCGACCTTTATTTTCTGAAAATTGCCACCGACGTAGGTGACCCCCTTTCTGGTCTCTTCCGTGTAACCATTCCAACGTAACCCAAGCGTGAACTTTTGGAATGCCATCTGCAATAAAACCGTAATTCAGTTAAAATCATAAAAATCACGAATCACAATAAAAAGTAATACAAAATAAACTTACGAGTTAACGTTAATCGCAAAAACAATAAAAAATAGGGTGCTACAACAGAAAATTGAAGAAGAAGAAGAAGAAGAAGAAGAAGAAGAAGAAGAAGGAGAGGTGTGAAGAGAAGAGGTTTCCCGGGGTTGCCTTTTATAGGCTAAATTATCACTGAATACCGCAGGGGGAGGGTGCGGTTTTCAGCTGCCATGCAGCCCCACGTCTGTCAACCTGCATGGCCAACATGCTAGTTGTCGGGAAAATGGGGATGACACACAAACCGCAGGGGGTGCGGTTTGTGTGTCGGCAAATGAAAATCGCACCCTGAGGATGCGGTTTGTGTTAGAGAAACAGAACCGCATCCTCAACAGGTGGTTTTGCTAGGTCAACCTAAGAACCGCCTTGCCATGATGCAGTTCTGGTAGGTGTGAAAGCAAACCGCCTGGCCAAGGTGCGGTTTAGTTTCTGAAACTCAAGCCGCACCCTCAGGTTGCGGTTTATATGTAAAGCGCACCTTGGCCGTGCGGTTTTTAAAAAAATGTGTTACTTTTGGAATTTGTGTCGCCTGGGTGCTATTTTTGTAATTTTTTTAATGGTGCTATTTCTGGAAAAATCCACCTAATGCATGGGTTTCTACTTTTCATCATTTGCATTTCGATTCCACCCTTAAAATAAGGATAAATTACAATTTTGGTCACTTAGTTTATTAAATTAGTTTGCGTTTGTCACTAAAAATATTATATCAATTCGTGGTCATTAAAATTAGTTGAATCGTTCAAATTTGGTCATTAACCGTCCATTTCTGCGATCTAGGAGTCATTTAGGCATTCACCCGTCTATTATCCAAATAACTATTAGTGAGAACTTAACATCAGGCCCTATATATTTCAAATCCGGCAACTCCATATCCATTACCCGTGATGTGATCAACAAAAAATTATTTATATTGGGAAAACTATTTAGGGACATATTGAACTCTATAAGAAACCAATCATTTTCTTTCATCCTGAAAGTTGATTATGAATGTATGATAGGAAGCACGTCTAATATTCAACTATACGGTCTACGTAGGCAATGAAGTACAATTAGTTAGATTTATTCTCTTTTCTAGTGAGTATTTATTTTTATTGCTTATATCCTATTTCTCCTCTTACTATATTTTAAGCAAATTATGCAGAGCCTGTATAACCAAGGTACAAAAGGCTCATTACATACAAGTTATTTAGTGTATTTATCATATCCATTATTATATATCAGTTTTCCGTCAAACGGGCGGGGCCCTGTGCTAGTGACTAGTAAGAGCAAGCCTGCGGGCCCCAGTCTTGGCATCAACAAAGACCCCCACGTCCTTACACGACACGTGGCATTCCTTGCATTCAACGAGCAGGCTACGATCTTGAACAAAACGGGGGCCTTTCCACCATTATTATGCTGCTTCACCCTAAAGATCTTGAACCCATTTGATGCCGCAGACCGGTGGTCAATTTCCTTCTTGCCGCGGACCGCCACGAACCATTTTTGTGCTTGGCTCACCTACCACACCGTCGATTTCCCGCAGGCCGAGGAAGCTGCAAACTGGATGTTCAGATCCATGGCGCCAAAGATGATCACGGGGGAAAATGTCACGGGAAGGCCGTGGGAATTCGGGTTTTGGGCTTGGATTATGTCGACCTTGCAGGAGGCATGGGTGTGGCAGTTGGTGGGAGCGGCGTCGGCTAGGGTCAGCCCTCCGCCTCCGTTGTGGGTCGCCGGAAAGATGAGGTATTGTGCGCCGAACTCGACGCGGCTGCCGTGGGTATCGATGAGCGGTGGCCGCATGGCGGCGGTAAGGACGGGGTTGAGTGTGATCACGAGGAGGAAGGTTATTAGGAGGGCGGTGGTGGTCGGAAGGAATGTGGTGGCAGGATTCATTTTATCTACTATTTTTTGGGGCTCTTCCTTGGGATTCAATGGTGGACGGTGAGTTGGAATTTCGGGGAAAATGGAGCTTGGAATTTATAGTGACTAGCATAAGCTCGTTTGCTGTCGCTTCGCGTATGGCGGAGAACATGACATTTAAAAGATTAATAGTTTTAATTTTGATCCAAAAGTAAAGGGCTTGTCATATACAATTTTATGTAGTCGACGCAACAATAAACTTTAATAAGCGAGAAGGGTCGTCGAGCAAATGATTTCTAAGTTAAATCTTCTCTCGTAACACTATTGATTAGTTTTTTTTTTGCTTTGATTTTTTTCCCAAGTTCATTATCAACCAAAAAGAAAAAGAGACATTAAAGCGGATAAAATTCGCTCAAGATCCAAAATTCGACAACATCTTGTTCAACTCTCTTTGATCGGGTTGAACCAAGTTTGTAACAAATTCACAACTGACCAGACCAGATCATTAGAAAAGCGTATAAAACTCACACCCGCCCGAGAAATTAACAAACACTAAAGTAGATAAAACTCGCTCATGACCAAAAATTCGGCAATAAAATAACATTAAACAGAAAAATCTCGCTCTCGATCCAAAACTCGTGGTCGATTCGAGTTTTTAAAAAATTCACACTCGACCCAAGATGCCAACTACAAAGTGGATAAAACTCGCTCTCGATACAAAACTCGACAATACCATGTTTGAATTCAATTGTCATTCTCAACGAAAAGAAAAATAGGAATTTAAAATTACTAAAGACGTGTTCAAGTCGCTTGAATTATGTTGGATACCCATGAGTTCGAGTTCAATTGTCATGCTTAACCAAAAGAAAAAGAGAAATAAGAAAACACTAAAGAATATAAAACTCGACCCTGATACAAAACTCGACAACATAGAGCATGTTGGTCTGGATTTTTGGTAGCGGTCTTGTGAGATGGTGGATGGATACAACCTAGGATTCCACCGAAAGTATTTCGAAATATGGAATGAATCTTCAGTAGCGGTCGTGGAAAACGATGGAAGAGGACAACTTATGATTATGTCGATAGTGTTTCAAGATGAGTTGCTGACACGCTACGACACAACACCTAACAATGGCCAAGTGTAACCAATGAAAGGGACTGCAGTATAGTGGCACAAGTAATAAATATCGAATCCACGGGTCTCTAGAGTTACTATTACTCAGCTTCAGTTCATTATCTAGCAAACCAGATTAAGGATTGATTTACTAAACTACTCTACTAATTACAAGTTGGAAACTCACTTAGGTATGATTCCCCCTAGCTCCTCAATTAGGTCCAAGTTGCAATTACCTTTGGTTGATCTACTGTTGATTAAACTGCGGAAGATCCTAAATTAGCTTGGAATCTCTTAAGCTAACCAAGCCGTCTCAGTCTAACTACCCGGCAGACGACTAGTCTTCACCGGGATAGAAAGCTGAAGCAATAAGCACAGAACTCCACTACTGGAATTGGATTCCAGTACAAAGCAGTAAACTGGCTAACTCTCGTATAACCAATCCACTACTAACGAATGATGAAGCTCTAACAACCTAATCAGATTCTATCTATCTCAGGTTGCAGCAGAAATCAAGAAAAGCTAATCAGACTTCAATCAATTCAATGAATCATGCATCATTCGATTAAAACCAAACAGTATAATCATCCCAAGTCATTACAATCAAATCCCTAACACATGGAACTAGGGTTCTTCACACCCAAGTGAGAGAAGGGTCTACTCCATAGAGAGAGAGGAAAACAGAATACAAAGCAGTCATACTCATCAAGATAGGAAGAATCTGCTCCGGGATGATGATTTTCACTCCTATGATGATCTCCAAGCTCGATTTGATGAAACCCAGCTCCAAGATCGCTTCTAGGATGTGTTCTTTGCACTTTCTCTCTCTAGGGCTCTGTTTTTGCTCTGAAAAGTCGATTCCTTCTGTTTTGGCTCGAATCTGCCTCAAAAACCCGATTCTGGGCGAATTACGGGCAGAATTATGGTTGTAATCATGGTCTGCCCGTAATTGCCCAAAACGCGCATTTCCCTTGACTCGGAAGACAGGATTTACGGTCGTAATTTGCCAATTACCGCCAGTAATTACAGAATTACGACTGTAATTTAAGTGACTCTTGCCCGTAATTGACTCTGCGACAGGAATTCTGGAAATTAGGCTCGGCATTGAAATTACGGGCATGCCAGGAGCAATTACGACCGTAATTGTGCAGGGGCTGCCCGTAATTCTCTCTTTGAAACGCACCTCGACCTCCAAATGACCCGAAACTTGCGCCTATGCACCTCTTTACTTGCTAGGACCTGAAATGCGACAAAACAACACAACCTAGCATAAAATAGGCCAAGGAACAACAACTTCGAGCTAAAATGGTCAGGAAACAAGGGTGAAAACATGTGCAAATACGATGCTATCAGTTGCGAATTGGTGGTCCAAGGCGGTGATTTGGGTGAAAGATTATAGACGAAAACGTAATAGATAATTGTTGCAATAGGGAACGCAATGAATAATAGATGAAACCTTATGGACAATAGATGTAGACCCAACGGACAATAAATGAACACAAAGGTGGTAGAATGGGAGAGTGGGATAAAAGATGGAACTTGAAACTTGCATATTTGCAAGAGGAGTGCGAGAACCACTAATGAATAGTAATACACCAAACCTTGGCTTTTATATTATAATGCAATAGGGAACACAATGAACAATAGATAAAACCTTATGGACAATAGAAGTAGACCCAACGAACAATAAATGAACACAAAGGTTGTAGAATGGGAGAGTGGGGTAAAATATGGAACTTGAAACTTGTCCATTTGCTAGGAGAAGTGTGAGAGCCACTAATGAATAGTAACACCAAACCTTGGCTTTTATATATTAATTAATTAATAATCACTGGATCCTTTGCGGGCCGGCATACTGTGGTGGTCGATCGACAATGGATGCTACTCCGCAGTACCCGCAAACAACAAAGAGCCTCCTTTTGACTTTCGTTAGTGGTGATAATAGTAGGATAATGGTTAGGCAAATGTGGAGCCACGCACAACCCAACCAAATCGTGATTAAGGGATGATGATCATCATAATATAAACGTTTGGATTTTGTATCAACTAATTTTAATTATCCGAACAAATTTATATCATCTACGTGGAGAATAATGTGATGTTAGGGAGACTAAAATTCATCTCGTAACTAGCTACTAATCCAGACTCCCGGTCCATTTCTACCATCGAGAAGTTCCGTTTGCTATTGGCAACCTGGTTGGCCGATCAGTCAAGCTGGATTATCACACTCAAACTCTTCAGAGGGGGAGATCCGCCCGAATCGCCATTGATCTGGACATGTCAAAACCTCTTCCAACGCGAATCTATCTTGATGGAAAATGGCAAACAGTCCTTTATGAAAACCTCCCTCAAATCTGCTATGAGTGTGGTAAAATCGGGCACTCGGAGGATCAATGCCCCCAATTTTTGCAATCGCAGGGCTTAGCAATGGTGGTAGCTCCTGGAACTAACAGTCAGGGGCGGAGCCAGAACAGACCAAGGTGGGTCGGCTGCACCACCTTGGCTCTGCAACACACTGGCATAAACTGCTTTTATTTGTGATTTCATTGCAGGGTTTATTTGTCTCTGTTTTTATTGTTCTTCATAATCTAACCTGCAGGGGAGACTTTGATCGAGCAGACCATCTGTCAGGGAATTTAGTTTTGTTATTGATACGACATAGTTTTATAATTTGCTTGGACTTATAACATTTATTAATTGCTTTAGTTTCTGTGCAGGCCTTTTACTTAAAGAGGATTGGGCTTCGTTTAAGTTAAGCATGGACTGGCATTTAAGAATTGGGCTTAAATTAGTCTAGCCCAAGAGACAATTTGCTTCTGCCGCAGAGAAAAGAACGGAACTATTTTGGTCACTTCATTTTGATCGGAATGGGATTAGGTGCTAACCCTTATAGGGGTTAGCACCGTGATAACTAGCAAAAATCACTACGAATTATTATAAAATCAATACAACATCTAAGCTAAATCACTACTAATTCAAACTAGTAGTAGTTTTTCCCTTGGTTAGGACGGTGCTAACTATTGTACAATTAGCACCGTAGTCGTTCCCCATTTTGATCAAATCACATTTCCTTCCCTATTTCTCATATTCTCATCTTCTTTAGCTTTCTAGGGTTTCAAGGTAGACCGATGGTAGAGAAAATTACACAAGTACAAGGGAATCGTATTGCGCTCGACATACCAACAACCCCAAACCCATATAGACTTCTGGGTAAATGGCGCTTATTCGGTGATGACATTTTCTAACCTCTAAAATAGGTTGTCGATCGCTACTTGCCGCTCGTTGTTCACAACGACCTATGTCACTATTCGACCCACCTTAGTAAAATTCCTGGCTACGCCCCTGCTAACAGTATTACTCAACTGGAACCCCCTGCCGGCTACGGTCCCTGGATGCAAGTCACCCGGAAATCGCGGAAGCCGGTGAAAGCCGAATCGGGTAACTCGCTAAATCATCCTTCCTCGACAGGCGGAGAATCAAGGAAAACGGCTCCAAAATCAAAAGGAAAAGGAAAGGCAGACTCAGATTCGAAAGAAAAAAAAAGAGTAAGGAGCAACAGTGGAAAACGGCTCAGATCGCGCAAAAAGGGAAAGCTCCCGTGACTGACTCTTTGGGAATCAACGGCAAGAAAAAGGGAGTTGTTATTCAATAATGGAGGGTCGTGTCCGTAGGGGTGTTCAAACGGTGTGGTTACCGTGGTAACCATTTTAACCAGTAGTATTTGGCTAATTTGGTTTGGTTAAAAAATTTAGCTTGTTTGCTTTAGGTGGTTTGGTTTGGTTTCAGGCACTCCTAACCAATCAACCTAAATTAACCAGTTAAGTAATTTTTCATTATCTAATATATATTATATACACATACTTAATACTTTGCATAACCACTCAAGAGTCAAATGTAAGATAATTGTATTTATTACATG